GGAAAGACATTCTCTCGCGTAGACTCGTGTCTCGCATTATTTAATCGGGTCGTAACAAGTAGCGGGCAACGCAAAATTCTTGCACAGAGTGCGGATCGCCCACGACTGGCCATATCACCGGGACATTAAAAAGTCTCCCCGAGTGCTCGCGCAATCCCAATAAACTTTTTCGATCCTCGTCGCGCCTAACTCGCCTAATAAACAGCCCCGTGCGAGTACGCTTTAGTAAATATAGCTGTATGCTTGTAAGGAGTAGGTGGGATGGGGCGACGAGGTGATAGGTGGGAGGAAGAGGGGGTGGAGGAGGGAACGTATAAAAGGCACGTAGTTTATTTAACGCTCTCTCGCCCCCGTCCGGTCGCTCAGTCGCGGAAAGGCGAAATCTCGCGCGCCCATACATTTCCCGGCCGTATAAGAGTGGAGTTCCGTGGAGCAGCGGCCCACACTGACTCACACACGGTTACGTGAGAGAGAGAGAGAGAGAGAGAGAGAGAGAGAGAGAGATAGATAGATAGAGAGAGAGAGAGTACGGATCGACGAGGCCCACGTTCTTCCCCAGGGCTGCACCTTAACCGTCGACTTGCCCACGCACACGCTCTCTTTCTTTTACCTTGGCGTTTCGTCTGTCATTTTGTGAATGAGCGTGCATGCGTATGTCAAAGAGATAGAGAGATAGAGATTGATAGATAGATAAATAAATAAAGAGAGAGAGAGAGAGAAAGAGAGAGAGAGAGAGATTGAAAAGAAATGAATAAAGCGGGGTGGAGATCCCGCTTTTTTTCTCTCCTACTCTCCCATTTATATCTTTCTTTGGAAAGTAGAAACAAGGGAACTTGTCCATATAGCTGACTAAATTAGTCAATTCGTCGACCCCACAGTTGTTTTAGGTTCCAACACAAAAAAAGTGTCAGATCTCTATTTCGTGCTTACGGCCTTATTTACATATTTATTTTACGAGAAAACGTGTACACGGTAAAGTTAGTTGGTAATGCGACAGAAAGAGTTTGTCGAGTTCTGTCGACCAGAGAAGTTAATATATTACAGAACACTCGAATTAACAAACTTCACTCATTGTAAAAATATTAAACTTTCAAATTTTATGATTTCGTCAGAATGTTATGCGTGTTACGCAATCAGTCATTGTACACAAAGTGTGACACAAGATTTTTCATTTTATACATATTGTATATAATTTACATTATAGAGTAAAATAAATTTTTTTTATTTTGATTAGATTACCCAGGTTATGGTATTTGTTGTAAATATAAATTCTGAAAATTAACGACTGATTACAAGTTTTATTATCCGAGTGTTATATATCAGCCTAAGTGTTATAAATTACCATTTTATCTTTTAATGTCAAACGGTTCTTTTCTTGGACTTATAAAATTTGTCTGACTAATAAAATTATTTTGTTAATAGTCGTACTCAAAGCTAGTGAAAATTTAACATTTTTTACACTTAAAGGATCGATTAACATCAACAATTAACAAGGAAATGATTAGCATTAGAATGTAGAATGGAGATTAAATGACTGATGGGGAAATAAAAAGATAATTAGGTTAAATAGGATAAAATTCTGTTCGGTAATAAAATTTATAATTGTAATTCATAATATAATTTGCATCTAAATTATTTATTCTTCATTTTTGTATTTCACACTTTTCACGCTCAACAAGCTTGAGCAAAAACTTTGAATCTCAGATGAAATAAATAGAATACTAAATAGTTATACAAATAACTTACGATAACCGTCATCTCGAAATCTTATATAACGAGTAAACTAGGTTACGTACATTGTTGCGAAAAAAACTGACTATCATTCGTAAAATATCGTTGGAAAATGCGTTTTCAAAGATTTCAAAAATAATCTACGAATTTCATTCTCGCGTAATTTCTACTTTCATTATATTTGCCTTAAGCAAATACACGCCTATTTGTACTAGAATAGAATGTAATCGTTTAATGCAAATACCTGATATTATTGAAAAACATTACTTTAATTTATACAAGCAAGATGTGTTTAGTATCATACGGAAAGAATTGCCAAAATGCGATTTGTCAAAATTAA